TTCTCTCTACCTTGAGACTGTTCAAACTGCAGGTGTCATAGGTGAAGCTCCAGGGTTCAATGTTACATTTCCCCGTTTCTCTCTTGGTTGGCCTTAATCAATATCTGCCATTAAAATAATGTACTTTCCACCACACTGTTTGCTAATTCACCATAGGAATATGTGTTCTGGCAGAGCCTGTTATGAGGGAGAAAAATGAAAGTTTCAGCTGTCCCTAGCATATCTTGGCTCAAATCTTTGGGCTCAAAAAACTGCAAATGATCGGCAGCTTTCCAAAGGTTTCTGACTTGAGAATTTCCAAGTCTTAGCACATGCTGCTTAGCGAAAGAAGCCTACACCTGTTTCTAGAGGCAGTGAATCCCTGTTCTTCAAAACCATCAAATGGTAGACCTGGGGAAGAGGTGGAAAACTTTTGAAGCAGTCAGGGATGTGAACCAGAAGCATGTACTTGTTCTGGATCTTAGCTATTGAGGAAAGTGTCTGGGACTGACTTCGCCAGAAGAGGCATGCCCAGGACAAAGAGGTGGGGTGAAACAAAACCCAAGAGTATAGCTAATGTTAGAGAGGCAGTTGGGCGTAGCAGTTAAGGCATCAGGCTAGAGACCTGGAGATTGTGAGTCTCTGGTAAACCTCACCAGAACTCTTTAAGTAATTAATTAAAGGGGGTGGGCATTCTTGATATGCATAAGGCGGGGAGTTTCCAATCACAACTAAATAATCATTGGTGTTGTGGTTAAGCCTCCAGGCTAGACACAAGCAGACAAAGGCGTGAAGCCAGCTGGGTGACCATGGGCCAGTCCCTCTCCAGCCCTACGAAGAAGGAGGCAAAGGGCAAACCACTTCTGAAATCTTGCCAAGAAAACTGCAGGGACTAATCCCAGCATTGTATGGACATATAGTGAAGCAGCTAATCCCATGATCAACCTGGAAAATCTCCCCAGGTTCTTTGTACCATTTGCGAAATCACACTAACAACTGTGACTGCCAGCTGGGATGGTCACACTGACAATGATCACTACAGAACTCTTTAAAAAATTAAAGAATTCTCCCCCCCCCGCCCCTCGTCACCTAGAATAGCTATACAATATGAAATTAATCAGGCATCCAGAGAGAGGTCATTGTGTACCTATCTCAATCGAGAAATAAGAACTTCAAAAGAGCTTGTATCCATCTACAACATCTACCAATGGAGTATTCTGGGAAATTTTTCCCTTGAGATATTTTCTTTCCTAGTCCCTCCCCCAGGGTCTTGATGAGGAAAAATATGTGTAATTTTATCCACCTTGTTTCTCAGTCAGTCTTGTATTCAGGTTTCAAGATTCAGTGTGCAAGTTCATGAGATCTTCCTCTCTTCCAGGTCAGCCCACAGTCTCTCCTACAGTGCGAGCTTTTAGTCCTCCCCAGGAAGACATCAGGAGAAGGCCGAGGTCAGCCCAGGACAAGGTCACCTTGGTGTGTCTCATCAGCGACTTTTACCCAGCTAATTTCAACCTGAAATGGAAGGCTGACGGGAACTTGATCACCTCTGGAGTGGAGACCAGCAAAGCTACCAAGCAGGGTGACAAATACCTTGCCAGCAGTTACCTGTCCTTGCCTCCCTCTGTGTACGGAAAGAGTAACCTTTACACCTGTGAAGTGACACACGAAGGAAAGACCATTACCAAGTCTGTGTCACCCTCTGGAAGTTGTTAATTCCATCATGAATCCCTCTCCTGCCATCGGGCAGCAGGAAAGAGCCCCTCCGTGGCTCTCATTTATTCTCTCTGAATCTTAGCTTGATCAGTAACGTCTATTTCTCTCTCATGTAGTTACACTCTCTGTGTCCTCTCCATGCCGACACCCCTTGAAGTCCAACCCCCTCCCTTTCTCTCTTAGTGTCTACCATTAGAAGACCAATAAAGATGGGTATATTTCATTTGTGCTGTTGTTTTCCAAATTTGTTCACAAGAGAGGGTGTGGAAAAACAGGCTTTAAGGTTTCAACATCCTGTTTCTCACACGGATCAGCCAGCTCCAATACAAGAAGGACAGAGCTGAACCTCTCGTCACTGAAAAATGGTTGCATCGAGTTTCAGATGCATTCGTGGGTGCTGCAGTGAATTTCTTGCACCTTTATTAACTCACACACGTTCCTCCCTCTCTGGTTTCCATTGACAGTGGGCTGCGCTTATCTTCAACACAGAGGACAGCAGATGTGGGCACGTATGGGGTCAAACTCGGGGCCTTACGATCCTTTCACAAATGCCAACCAGTCTGCTAGCTGACATAAAACCTGAGGTTTCCGTTTCCACCTCCATGTCAACAATGTCCTTCCTAAATTCCAAACTTCATCCTTCTTTTGTAACTATACAATCCCCCATGAGGCCGTATCAAATAATAAGTTGTCAGAGACATTTACAATCTCAGTTCCTTAGAATGTGGTAAGTCTATTGCTGAAGGTTTGGGGAATAAAATTAATTTTGATCGAGAAAGACCCGGGTTCAGCACCTAGGTTGGAGATGTCTCATTGTGCTTTGTATTACCACTTTTCTTATAAATATATAATCCTGAGGGAGTAAAGAACAGGCGTTTTCTTCTACCAGCACCCGATCTCCCTTTGATTCTTCAGATTCAGGATGAGAAGAGATAAACTATTGACCTTACTAGCAAAGGTATCCCTTTCAAGATTTTCCAAGAGGTAGAGACAATCATGAGTTATTAAACCAAGATAGGGTGGAATCAAGGTTTTGATTTCCCGTCTGCAGACTGTGTCTTCTCTCTGTGTCCCCGAAGGCACCAGAAATTAAGTTTTACTCACTGCACCATCATGAGAAAGCCTACAATGAAATCTCACCGTTCTTGGTCAAAGGGTGAGCTTTCCACCCTCCTCTTCACTGCTGCTTAAGATTTTAGAGACATAAGGGTGAGTTGGTTACGTGATACCAGAAATTCCAAAGAGAAAAATCACACTCCAGCACTGTTGCTCGGGATTTCATAAGCCTGAGGATGCCCCCGTGCATTCTTGTCCTTGAAACGTGATGTTTTTCATAAGCGCCTTCCTTATATTGGAGGAAACTAAATTAGTCATGGTGTACTGAAACTTTAGGAGATGCGTCCCCAACATATCTCTAAGCCACCAGATGGGGGGAAACAATGAGAGATCATGAGATGAACACCATGGGGCTTACCCAAATCCTTGATGTGTAGGATAACCAATCCAGAACTATTTCTAGCTTAGCATTGGACTGAGGGCAATCCTAACTCTTCAAATCTAGAAGTACATCCTGGACCCCTCGCATCCATACCAATCTCCTTGTAGCCCCACAGATTTACACTTCATGAATTCACAAATTGCATCCACTCCGATGACTTCCTGGAATATGGTCTTATATTGGACATGAAAGACACAAATACATCGATCTGGATCCTTTCCTCCGAGGACTAGAAGCAGCCAAGTCTATCAAGGCAGGTGGTAGGAGTTTCCAATTCAGGCTGCTATAGGCTTCCGCTGCCAATACGACAATAAGGCAGCTCCCGATATATCATTCTCCCTCTTCATGGGAAATTAACATCACACACTTTAGGGAAAAGAATCCATGACTGGCTCTTTGGTTTCACAAATGCCGCAGACTATAGGATGGGAGAAATATGGCTTCAATGCCCAGGGACAGACCACAGGGATCTCAAGGGCAGCATTCCATACCATGACCTGTCACCACTCAAATTGTGAAATGGATCAAGGGCCATCAGGGCATTCTTTGGCTTTGCACAAACAGCTTCCATGATTTCATTCTCTTGCTAAGACCCACCAGACAAAGCTGATGGAGAAGTTCAAGTCTCCCAGTTAGCATGACAACAACATGGTGGCCAATGATAGACATATCCACCGAGATGATCAATAATGGTTCTTGAGGGCCTCTCTGACCACTGCCATCATTCCGTGAACTTCACTTCTTTCTGAGGATGGAGTGTAAATGCACATATGCTCCATTGTGCAAGGCCATCAATCCATCTCATGGATGCTGCCCTAAGTAACCCCAACCTCTTTGTCTTGGAACTGATGGACACTCAGATGGACCAGACATATTTTAATCAGAAAGAAATTAGTTCCCAATACTCTGTTCTATGGCCAACAATGGAGCTAATATTTCACCACCTGCAGGACTAAGGCCATAAGAAGAAGAAAAAGCTCACAGAAAACACACACAAAAAGGAACTGTCCACAGGAGGAACGCAAAGGTTTATCCATTCCATGAATTCTAGTAGAAAATTACGCTCTTAATGGAAAACATGGTTTTTTCCCCAGAATTCTATTTTAACAAACCTCCAGCCGTAACCCGCCTTTGCCAGCCAATATGTGCATTATATGATTCATTAAAATAAGTTGATGGAAGAGTTCCCCTACAGGGAATTAGGCAAGTCCTTTCACACAAAGAATGGTCCAGTGCACTAGGCTGAATGTATAAGAAACAACTTGAATATAGACAAAACGCTACCTACAAAAACATTTCTCACTCTTCTACAACTGCTTGACTGGCGATATCACAAGAAGCTCTTTTGGGGGGTTCTTCTGTGCAATTCAATGAATGATGACTCTGATCTCTCATGCTTTCTTCACCTATCAATGGGCTGGATCCACCGGATTGTCTTGAATGACCTTCTTGACCACGAATTGCTTCCATGATGTCCAAGCATAAACCACTGAAACCACGCCGTTTTTGTTTTCTTCAGAATACAACATTGATTGCAGATTCCGTAGAAATTTCAAGAAACCCAGTAATTGCCCAAGGTGGGATCTATCCAATGAACCATCGCTGTAGTGAAATGAAGGCAGGTTTTGGTATAGCTATATATCACTGTGGTTTTTCTTTGGAGGAGGGTCCCCATTAACTGTCATCGGTAAGTCCATTTATCATTGTAATCTTTCCTTCTCCATAGCATTTTTTAAAACTTTTCCTTCA